CTGTCACTGAACCACGCAAGAAAAGTTAGACTGATCTGAAGATCTGAACTTTGCCGTGAAATATCATCTCACAAAATATAACTGAAATTACTAGTGACTGATTTTCCCTTTCTTGTTTGTATATTTAAAATGGTCAGAAAGTAATGTCAGGGAGTCTCTTTCCACATAATAAAAAATATGTAAAATTAAAGATAACATGTAAGAATATATAATAAATGTGAATGATAATATAATTTCAGTGCTTTTATTTTATATTTTCAATCATTTCCTGTAGATATCATAGGTATGTCGATTTTGAGGCCCAAAATTCTCAATTAACCAATCTTTAGACATCGTAAAGATCGTTATTTACAAGAAAATATGTGATCATTTCAGAAGACTATCATATATTTTGGTAGAGAGGTATTTATGGTTTGCATCCATGCATATAAATTTTCATTATATATCTTCGACACAGTTTTAGAGTCTAAAAACGAAATAGTACGTCGGTTTTAATGCATTCCGTTCAAATTCTCTCATTGGATCATCGGCTGCGGGTTCCGAGCTGCACCGAAAAAAAAAGTGTTTAAATCGTTGTGAAACCCAGTGTTTGTTCGTTTTCGGAGAAAAGCAAAAAAAAAATAAAGGACCCCCGGTTAAATATTAAAAGCCTTCGTCGGCCAACTGACGTCATTCTCGCATGATTTCAGCTGTTGCTAACGTCCCGCTGTCCGATAAACGGCACGACACGGTCACCATGCCCGGGAAATTCAATACTTTCAGTCCAGACACGGTGTTTGTTTCCATAAAACTTGTAATTTATACCGGGGGCGTATTGTCCTGCTCGAAACGTCAAACGTGCGCGACATACATGCGCGAAAAATGGTGCCGGCTAACATGCACGTCACGAGTGTCATTTCAAACTGCGGTTAAGCGACGCCATTGCAAAATCATAGAAAGCGAAGAGTGGTCGTGGCGAAAAAACAGCGTCGCGTTGTTGCGAAATTTTTCACCGAAAACCACTTCGTGGGTCGCCTTTCGTTAAGTGAAAATTTTCTTTGGAATCCTTTTAAATTTTAGTATTGCGCATTGATGGAAATGTAAGTCTGCAAAAGTTAGGAAGCAATTGACCATTCGGAAGCTGAGATATTCGTAACTAAAGACAACATTTTTTATTCCATGAGATTGATGTCCTATTTTCTTAAATTCTATTTTCAATTTCTTTTACATTGCATTTAGAATTTTTATAAAAATAACTATTGTAATATTAAGGATTAATATAGAGATATTATTAAAAAATGTCAGAATTATCGATCATTTTTATAAAAATATGACCACAGGAAATTTACAATTTATAATAATATCCGCGATATATGTACATATGCGGAGATTCAAATATTTATATACCGTTTTCTATTACGTGCGCAACTCTATTAACTCAACTACAAATTGATATAAAAAAATAAAAAATACGTAATATCTCCGTGCTTGTAATATAGTGTGCATATTGATCTCAATTTCGCGCGGGCGCGCTCAAAATTCACATTTATTGCTTAGATAATTAAATAAAATTGTGGGAAAACACTTTTTGCAGTAAATAATAAAGTAAGAGCCTCTTAATACCAGTGAAAATACTCTCTGGACCAGCTATTTTAAGCGATCACGCGGCATTTTTCTCCACTGTTCTCGATTTCGCATTGTATTCGGCCACGAATCGAATCCTTGACGACTCGGTAATCTCCGGAAACATTAGAAAACGTTCTTCGGAGAGTGCTTGTATTCGCGTTTGCTTTGGTCGAATTGAATACGCAGCGGGGACGATGCGGGGAATGGGAGCAATGTATCGGCACGCTTTTTCCGCAAAACGCACGAGCATTTTTCGTTTAAATGCGTAAAATGTACAGCGCTGCTGAAAATGTACAGCGGAGAAACAAAGCACTCGGAATGAAATGCGCGGGCGAATATATTTCATTCGCAATGCGTGCACTTGTTACAAAGGGCCGCGAATTGTTCAGTACGGCGCGGTCTTTTTTCGCATGAGCGGATATTCGTTGGTACCGCGTCGTTAATTCTACGCGTTCCTTTGGATTAACGTCAATCGCACAGACGCGCGACTTCGATTACGACATCACGACGGTGTGTTATCGTTAAAATAAATGTCAGTGGGACGGTACGTGATTTCCGTCGCATTCCCGCATTCTCGGAGAGTTCGTCCAGTGCGCGATGATGATAATAATAACGATAATAATATTTATTTACGGGAAAGCTTTGATTATATGAAAATAGGTTTAACACGTGTAAGAATAGACAAGAAGAATATCCAATCAGCGTTATCGAAGAGAAATTATAAGCTGAAATACAAACTAGTAAATGCAAGTGGTACATAAAAAAAGAAAAAAGTACACACACATATATATATACATAACTTAAATTAATTAATAAATAGGTTACTAAAAATAGTAATGAGGGAACTTTTAAAGCTTGAAGACATCGCACCGAGAAAATCCACTTTCGATGAACGCTCATTGGCCAAGACACACAACCTATTAATATCACAGAATTTAACAAAGGAAGTTCTATGATATTCCATATAAAACATTAGAGAGCGTCGAAGATATCTTGACGGAACATTAAGTTTCAATCTCTCCGAGAAATCTGGGACAATCCGCACGCGATGATGATGTATCTCCAACTAGTACCTCGCGACTAATTTTCCCCTAGCGATAACTCCTCGCCGCACAATGTAATATTCTTATCAATAATAAACATCCCGCGCCGCGCGCTATTCCGCGGGAATGTGCGAGACTATTCCTGCGAGTCCGGAGAAATTTCAGGCGGAAAATGCAGATGGGAGAAGTAAAATGCGTCGTACCGAGGGACGGTGATTCATGCGAGATTTCCCCGCTGGCCACTTTGGAGACTGGAAAAATTGCGCCATTAAGCGTTCGAAACCACGCGGAACGGGGATATCAGAGCAGAGCGTACGAAAAAGAGAGAAAGGGAGAGAGCTCAGCGAGGTGAACACGGACAGACAAACCCTTTCGCGCTCTGTTCCTTTCATCAGCTCATCCGTGTTCGATGAAAAACTTTTAATCAGATATAAATTCCCGATTATTAGTATCCATCGCCGGCCCATACTCCCGGCTAAGGAGAACGGTTTAATTAACCGTCCGCGCACTGAAGATAATCGGACGTGGCTAATTAAAATTCCGCGCGTGGAGCGCGAGAATATGTAACTCGCCGATAACGTCGGTCGTTTTTCACGGATATTCTCGAGATACGATGAGACCGGCGCGATTCTCGCGACGTAATCGGGAATTTCCGCGGATCCCACGAGGGTCTTTCGACTGTCGCGGATCCGAGTGCCGACAGCTGAAACGTTTTGAAGCATTGAGCGGTCAACCGCAGCTTCCTCGGTGGAAAATCGATCGAGGGGTTGTTCACCTTTCCTACTTATGTCGGTGATGCATATATACGTATACGTGTAGGCTATACATGCATGTATGTGTCTAGTGTTCACTCGTTCGCTGGAAGCACAGCTGACTTAAATATTTTATTCTCGCCGACGACGATGTTGTCGACTGTACTCGCGTTACACGGATCGATGACACTTCACACATATATATGGCGCGACTTCGCCACCAGAAAGAGCCAGATATTAAATCAATCTGCGTCCCCGCGCTTTAGTTAGACAGTAAATATTAATATCCACCGACGTCGTGTAATGTTTATTCTCGTTTCCTCGTTTTACATTTATGTGGAATTACGCGTGTCTCGCTGCTATATTCCCGTGACACGTGAAAATGTCGGCCTTCTACTCGCTGAGTTTTTATCGCGACTTTCTGTCTCTCTTATCGATAAATGATTTGAGAGTCATATTAATTATACGTCGGCGATCATTCGCTATTTGCTCGTTTACTGTTATCGTTTATTGATCTCGCAGTCTCTCGTACATTGTTATTAATTTTCTATTTTACAGCCTGCCTATTCTCTCTCTCTCTCTTTCTCCAGGTATACACATGTTGATAAATTGAAAAAACCGGAATAACAAACTGAATTAAATTTTTAATTACTTTATATTCAATCTGGAAAAAATATCATGTATATTTAATTACAGAGATTGCTTAATAAGTTAAAGTACTATCAATATCTCACGGTGTGTGTGCGTGTGTGTGTGTGTGAACTTTGCCCCAGCAAATAATCATTTACTCTCTCTCTCTCTCTCTTTCTGCGCTCCCGAATCCGATTACATTCTTTTTCAGAGAGGTTTCAATAAATTAGTCGTAATTATATTAAAGTCTTTTTTAAAACGCACTAAAAGTAGACCCCTCAAGTTTACTCAAAATACGGATGTTAAATTATTCTGTATTCCTAAATTATTTAATCCGCAGCGCGATATTCGTTAGTTCTCGCTTAGCAGTTACAACTTATCAAGATAAACGCAGTCGTATAATTCGTGGTTATAAGTTATTCTTATTCTCTCTCTCTCTCTCTCTCTGAGTATTGAGCTAATCGTAATAACTAGAAGTAGTTGCGTATCGACGCACCACGCACGTTCTCCTCCTCGCTAAGGCTATTTAACGCGTGACAGCTTTTTGGATTTTACAGAGTCGCGCCGGGCCGGGGGGCGTTAATGAATAATAAATACATATTCATATTACCTACTACTATCGATCTACCGTAGAAGCATATACGGTCGCGTGACTACAAGAACACGACTTCGTAGCGAGCAAGATCTAATCTGCTTAACACGCGCGACTACGATTAGGCTTCTCCCGCTTCCTCCGCGTCCAATTCGTGTGAATATTTCCGATCCGTTTCGCGCGCCCGTACGACTTTGGAACGCAGTTTCCAGCACGGTATTATCACCTCAGATCATCGGCAATATCGCGCGTGCCGTGACGCATTATTTATTGAGCACTTGAGACGATAATGAACAATATCGCTACCGGGTTTCCGCACAGCGATGTGTGTGTCCTCCCTTGAAACCACGTGCTTGCCACTCGCCGAGTCGCGCACTTTCACGTTCTGTAATACGGCCTGTAAGTGGACATCGGGATGTTGTTCTTCGACAGGTGATGAACGTCACCCTGATCGTACTCCACGTCGTTGTAAATGCCGCTTTGGTTCTGAAATGTGATCGCACCTCCGTCAGGGGGAAAGAAAGAGAGAGAGAGAGAGGAAAACGCGCGAATCAACGCGAGACCGCCGGCGGCGTCCCGTCGAGTCCCGTCGCGGGAGCGGATTTGAAAGAGCAATTACGACAATCGCCAACCGGTGATTCCCGACATTAAGTATCGAATTATGCAAGAATCCAGCTGCGCTGAATTGTTCGATAATACGCTTACGTTTCCTTTCCCTCGCCGTAATCTGTAAACGGCGCTCGACTCAACGATTTCACGTACCGCTAATGAGGACCTTGACTTCGGCCTGGGCACGTGGAAACCGCTGTTCTGCGGAATTAGGTCGGCTCTATCCTTATCCTGCGGCTCGGAATCCGAGCTATCCGGATCGGGCTGGGGTCTCTGTCGGGGCCGCGGCGGAGCCTGCAGACGCGGTAATGGGACCGGAGGCAGTGTGCCGTGGACGTTCATGGATGGGTAACCGAACATCGCCGAGCTCGGTCGCGTCGGGCCCATAGGCTCGGTCTTGTGATAAGAAGACTCTCGATAACGTTTAAGTGGCTTCGTTTTGATCAGCGAGAGAGAAAACTAAAAGGCTACTCGACGGCGAGAAAAGTCCGTCGCCTTTTAACCCATTAGCTGCCACGATTCCCATTTGGGGCTCAAAACAAAACATAATTTGAATATAATTATACTGTTACACGACTTTTTGTGCATGTATATAACTTATCCGGCCAAAAATTTCAACAAAAAATTTTGGCAGTTAATGGGTTAATGATCGCACTCGCGGAATTTCCCGGTTCTAACAGTATTCATCGATCACTGTTGAATTTCTCCCCGTTTCAAGTAATTGTCGATTATTATTGAGCAATTATGATTCTCCTCTCACGATGATGAAAGGAACCTTCTTATTCGCACTCGGTATTTGTTATAAAATGTTAGCTGCATGCAAGATTGCCACATACCGCGTAGACATTCGCCGTGGCCATGTGCTCCCCGAAGTGGGCCCACATGTAAGGAGGCAGATTAGTCGGCGGTCCTTGTTTTACGGACGCCAGAGTGCCCACAGAGCCAACCCTCGCTAAGGTCCCTGGCGGAAAAATAAAAATCCCTGTGGATTATCTTCGCGCATTGCCGATGGCAGCTCGGATTTCTATCCGCGTGATAATTCGATTTTACCTGGGAGAGTACCGGGTATCCCACCTTGAATGTAACCGTATACCGGAGATCCTACGGACTTTTGTTCACGAGACCACCTTCGACTGTAAAATACACGTGAACTTGCACTTACGTATCGTATCGTTATTGAAAAGTTATTTGAAAATCTGTCAAATGATGGATAACTTGACTGAACCGATCATATATGTATGTACTGTTTTATTATTATTAATTAATGGCAAAAATAGGAGAATTCGACGAATTTCGTCACAGGTCCCTGATGTATAGAGGAAAGATCCGCGGTATTGTGTGCGTGAATATCACAGACTGATCTCAATCAAGAATTATTACCTCCACATAACGAGACAGACTAGCGTCAACACTATGATTATTAATGCAGCCACGGATGCGCCTATCGCAACGCCCAAAACTTCACCGTCGACCTCGCATTGAGCGCCGTAGTAGTTTCCAGTGCACCTGAAATATTGCAAAAACATCACGGCTATCAATCCGACGAGGATTTACGCGATCACTTCTACTTACGCGCACTGCATCTGGTCGCCTTGGTAGGAGCACGAGCCACGATTGTTGCAATAAGTTGAGGGACACGACAAACACGATCTACCGGACTCGTTAGGATCGTCCTTGTGAGGATCCTTCAGTCCTGGATTGCAGCTGCATATGAAACCTCCGAAGGTATTGCTGCAGCTCGCGGAGGAGTGGCAATCGTTCAACTCTGACGAAGCGCATTCGTCCAAATCTACAAATTAACATTGCACAAATCTGTCGATTATGCTTTTAGTTGCGCACGTATTCTCGAAATTTCTTCGAGTGAAACTTCACCCCAAAATATCGAGTAACCACTCGAATTCGAGCTCGACTTTTCACTCGTGTATATAAATTATAATAATCAATTAAAATGTATTCGTTTATAGTTTATAAATTAAAATAATATCGGTGATGGTTACAGCTGTCAGGGTCTCACCTTGCAGATTCGATATCGACCCGGGTGGACTGTCCACGTACAAAGCGCTGTTGCCGATGTTATTATTCCTTCTATGAATAACACCTAACAGGTGCCTCTGAAGCTCGCCTGCCAGACTCGGCCTGATCGTTCTCGGTTCATAAGTGAGCTTCAGAGTCGTGTTTATGAAAACGCCTCCCTGCCCTTGGCTCACGTCTCCCTGGTACACGTTGTTTATCTGCGATCCCATGTACTCGTCCGAGAACGGTGTCATGGACATGGCGGACTCAACCTGTATGAAACGTTACATAAAAAAGTGATAAGTCTATTGAACGATAATGAATAATATACTTTCAAGTATATTAAACAATAAGAAATCAATCGAGGAGATACATGAAGGAGAAGGTGTTGAAACTCATATTACATTCAGCTGGGATATATTCAGCTTCATCATTATGACGAAATAAATCGAACCGACTGTATAAATCAATCATTGTGTCTAGCCGTCTTCAATCACTTTTGCAATGATTAACGATACAATTTATACTCACAGCCCTGTTCGCCTCATAAGCGAGAGTCTGATAAGATTCCGAGTCTTTATCGGCCAATCCCCGATCCCACACGATCTTCTTATCGTAAAACTTGTCCACTCTGATCGACACGACGATACTGACGATTTCTGCAACACACACATGTGAAATCAGCGCGCACGGCTCGCTATCCACGCGCCTCGTGTAATCTACGTGTTCGTTCACTGACTCTTGCACGGTAACGAATGCTGCAGTCTCGCGTATCCCGGCTTGCAGTGACAAGCCGATACCCCTTGAACGGTCGCACAGGCCTCGTGTTGGCTCGCGTCGCACGTACTCGTGTCGCCCACGATGCAAGTGTCTATTCTGACAGGTGGCTGCGTCGGTCTGCGATATAATGGTGGTTGCCTCCGATTGGGTCCATTTGGGCGTGAAGTGGCGACAGGAGCATCCGGTTGCGGGATTGCCAGGCTGCGACAAGGGATCGAGATTTTCGAGCAGATCCCGTTAGCGAGAGAATCCCCCGCGTTCGCGTTTTTCACCTGTCGCGTGTCCGTTTTATCGTCCACAGCGCGACGGATCTTCCCGGAAGTGTAGAAGATCGAATAAACGAAAATGTGAATTGCAATCGAATGAAAATTGACTTGATGAGACGCGAAATTGTCGGGGAAGTCGTGTCCTCCGTCGAATGGACTCCAATCGAGTTTCTAATTCGGTATCGTAATCATGAAAGGAAAAAAAAACGAGGCTTACCCGGTACCGATGATGGCCGGCGGTTGAGTTCTGGTCGGCTGCGGTTGTACGTGTGTGGGTCCCGTCGGTGTCCGGTCCGTGTTATCAAACAGATTCAAATACGTTCGTTTACCGTCGATGCTCACGTAACCTTGCCCGCCTACAGCGGAGGTTAATATGACATCACCGCCGCCGGGGTTCACGGACACTCTGACGCTGTCCCCTGAATGAAGACAAAATGACGAGATACACACCCGGTCGCTTAATGAGATCGACTTGGAAAATGTCGCGAAATTTTGCCGAACGTTGCACGACGAGTAAGGGAAGGATCGGCCGCATAAGTGATTCGAGACGTGTGGCTGGGGGGAAGTTATGTAAGCGGGAAAGTTACCGGAACTTCCTCCGGGTCCCTGAATCGCCGAAACGGTCACATCGAACACATCACCGATAGGTGGGTGTCTCGAGGGTGCGTAAGGCCTCTGACTCGGCAATCCTTGGGCGCCGGTGTAATCCAGAGTGTCATCCAGGACAATCCCAGGCCGTGGTCGATAATGTTCCGTGGATCCTGTTACGATTATCTCGTGTATTGTGGGAAATCATACGCTGTTCGTCAGTATGGACGTATGAAGTAAGTAAAAGTAATATCGAAAGTAATTAGCTTATTGTATGATTTATTTTATATTTAATATTGCACTTTCATCTTAATCCCTTTTTCCAACTCATGTGTTATGTAATATACCAAAGGAATTGTTTCCCGTTTTTAATAAATGGATAATAATAATAATATTTAGACAAATATTTTAAAAAGTGAGAACAAGATTTATGAAAGAAAGTAATATTTCAACAGATACATGAAAAAGTGAGAGAAAGCGATATTTAAAGCAAGCATAAACGAACGATGATAAATTTCGCCAATGAGCGAGCGTTTTTTATACGCATTAAGTCTCGATCTTTACGAACCTGTATTTTTCGTGAAAATCGAAGTCGCAGGGTGAACGGCACCCTTCTCTATCGTGGTCGAACTCTTCGAGTAACTAGCGGGAAGACCTTCGGTCGGCGTCGAGACGCCGGACGTCGATGCTATGTACTCGATGTCCGGTATTCTGCTGGGTTCCAAACTCACCACGCTAGACTTGGAATTGGCACTTGATTCCGTAGTCGGCCGGAGGACGATCTTCGTTGGTGTGGATTCGATCACTTGGACGGACGAACTGGTCTCGATGTTCAGGGTGCTGGTAGAGAAGGTCTTCGTGGCCGAGACGGTTTTCTCACCTTTGGCGGTCGAAGGCGCTTTGTCCTCGTTCTTCGACGATTTCGTAGCTTTAGTTTGACCGTTCACCGACGACGACGTTGCTGTCTTCGAAGGTGCTTGATACCGCGTCGAGGGAGTTGGAGCGATGTCGTCGGTAGCTACGCCGAGGATCAGCGTCTCCTCAGCGTTGACCTTGTTGTCCTTCGATGGTGGATGGTGCTTGTGAGTCTTCTTCGTGGTCGACTCCTCGACTTCCGGTTTCTTCGTCGCGTTCTGAAGGGCTGAGTCATCGACGGTCGTCGCAGGTTCGACTCGGTCCTTGTCGTCAGTAAAATTACTCGCGTGATTCTTGATGTCATAGTCGTCGACATGCGCGCCCTGATGACTGGCGTCTTTCTTCTTCGTCGAGCTTTCCTGAGGTGTCTCGGATTCCGGCTTCAAGTCGTGCTGCGAGCTCTCCGTCATCGAGAAGTTCTTGTCACGATGAAAGCTGGAATCTAAGAGCGGCGACAAGGGTTTGGTATGAGGCAATGTGGGTCGCCTGTTTCCACCTTGAAAAGCATAAAAATCTCTTTCAAATAGCGCACGTATATAATATAATTCAATAATTTTGTTTAAATAAAACACAGAGGGAAAATGTAATTGAATGCAAAGTAAGGAAGAGTGACCAATAAGAACCTACGTACGGCTGTTCGGTGAAGTAAAAAAGGAGTGATACAAATCAATCCTCGAGTGAGATTTCGAGATATTCCGATGTAAGTAAATAATTCATTATTAATACATCAAATTTATATGTTCAATTTTACATATTATATTAATTATACATTAATATATTACATTAATTTGGTGTATTAATATATTATTTATTCACATACATTATTTACTTACAAATAATTTACCAATACACCAAATTAATAGACTACGAAATCTCGTGTATTAATTCCGTGTGCTAATAAATTATTTAGTAACTTACATCAAAACATCTCGTTGTCTCACTTAAGGATCGATTCATATCTTTTTTATTGCACTGAAACATAGATTCTTATTAGCCGATCCTCCTCTCCTTTCGTTGAATATCAGCGGAGCCAATTTACTTCATTTACTCCGGAAGCAATTGCGTTACAATTGCCCATCAGAATCCTGAATTACGCTTGGGTCGTGTCTTGTGTTACATAAAAGTACCCGTGTATCAAATACGCAGTCGATGATTTACGGAGGATGCGAGACGCACCGTGGGAGGTATCCCAGTTCCAAGGCGGCACGATCTGCTCTGGTACCGGCACACCGCTGATGAACGGTCGGACGGGCCTCTCGGGCGGCAGCTGATTCAGCAGCGGCCTGTCAGGCGCGGGTGGTTTTTCAAACGGATAAGGATGGGAGGACGTGGGCGGCGGCGGTGGCGGCGGATTCATACCCGGGGTGTCAAAATCCGGCGGTAACGGCGGTACGTCCGAGATCCTCGGCGGTCCCCGATTGTTAATCCTGCGAAATGTCGATCGATACAACGTGTATTCCGGCTGGGAGAGAATCCGAGCCGTTTTTCTAATACCTTGTCGCCTGGACCGGCCTCAACGGTCTCACGGTGTTGGCGGCCACGTTGACGTTGCCGTTTAGCAGCTTGACAATGCCGGTGATGATGTCCTGTATGTCGGGATTCGCCTGCCTGTTACCCGGCGCGGCGGTCTGCAGCACCGGCGGCGCGTGCTCGCTATAGATCCTGGGGATCTCTTGACGGGCCCGCCGTTGCGGATCCGTTACCGGTGAATGTCGTGATCGTGGCATCGGCGCGCCGACCAGCTGATGGGGCTCCGACAGGAGGCCTGGCCTCCGCGGAGCCCCTCGTCCTTCCCCCGACATCGACTCGCTCGCAGTCGGCACGATTCTGTCGGCGGTTAATTCGTCATTTCGCAACACCTGCTCGCGCGATCCTCATTACTCACTGTTAACCAGCCGAAGTCGGAGGTGCGCGTTGAAATAAACACCCCTAGTTACGTGGGACGTATCTCGAATTTGGAAACATCTCTCATAATAGGACTTTTGTTGCACCTCCAACGTTGGCGACGGTTGTACTCGGGAGTCGAATGAGAATCGGGACGTTCGGCACGAAATCGACGCGAAGCCAGAGTTGAAAAGCCTTCTCGTGATTCGGCCGTTTGCAATGTATTCATGAGAAAAAAGGCGGAATGGCTTACTGGTAGTATTCGCCGGGCTTCACCTCGATGTTATTACCGTCGATATGGGCCACGTGCTTCGAGGATGTCAGCTCGTCGATAGACTCGTCGCGGCTCGTGTCTCTGAATACGAACCTGGTCTCCTCCCTGTCGTAACCGTTCGTACTCTTCGAGCTTTCCAGTTGGAAAGCCGGCACGGTCTTTTGGAAGTTCACCGACTCTCTCGGTTGACTCGCACTGGACGTTTTCTCGGGGCCGGTGTAGGCGCTGGCACTCAGCACGACGTCCTCCCGAGAGACTCGAGAGGACGTTCTGTCGTTCTGTATGGCCGACGCTTCTGCAAGCACAAACGGAAGAGTCTACGTCAGATCTGCTCCGTAGATCGTCTCGACATTTCGTGAAAGGCAACTATTTTCGCCTGGGGATCGGGACGAAACGGCATGCCGTACTTGAAAACTTTCCCAGCGCACCGACGTCACTTAGCGTCGATGTTCGCGTCGTATTACCCGCACAGAGTTAAAAATGCAAGTTTATACAGTACGCGCGGAAATCGATCGAGAAATACGAAAAGGGAAGCGTGATCGTGTCGGCGTTTGTGTAACGCAACATCCTGAGGATCGCTTCTGCATTACCGACGCTTCATCGAGTAGTTCGACTCCGGCATCCCCTTAACAACGCGCCGAGATTTCCCAATCGCCGGCAGAATTCTTCGAGAAGCTGAGACTCGCCACCTGCGAGACTCCAATAATCGGACGTTACAAGGCGCCGGCTTTTCCGCTGTATATTCCGTCAGTATCGCCTCACACGCGCGAGGACGATAAATATAATGCGCACGCTTGTACTTAACGCGAATATTAAAACGGTAAACCACTGAAGTGAGGACCATTAGAACTACGGTCGTATAAGGTAGATTCTTCATGCTCGAGGTACTCGCATGGCAGTATAATAACTGCGCGGAAGGTTAACGAACCCTTTTCGCGAAATCGCATAAACGTTCGTTCGCGAGGAGCGACACCCGCATCCCCGAGAGGAGTTGACATGCGGGAAATAAAAGGGTCGCTTAAGGGCCGCTCTTTCTTTCTCTCTCTCCCTCAAACGAAGAAGAAAACCGTGGACAGAAAAAGTCTGGTGGTGTTAATTGCACACAGTGGCCGTTTCCTGATTGCACGCCCCGCGCAAAAATGTATAATTATATCGTCATTAGGGCGTAATTAGCTGCCCCCCTCCCTCTCTCTCTCTCTCTCTCACTCTCGTGAGAAAGATCTCGCGCGCTTGATCGAGACGCAGATGAAATAATTTCGCGGCCGAACGGTACTCGGGAAAGGTACTTTACGGTATCGCCGAGGCCCTGCTCAAGGGAGACGCACTTCCGCAAGGACCGTCGAATTCGCACGATGCTGAAGATACGCGGAATGACCCTTTGTACCCTGTTTACAGCGGGAACATGTGGCGACCTTTTCGCGGGTCGGTGAATAATCCGATTTCCCGGACGAATTCAATCGATTGCGTAACGCGGAGGCTCACACTTGTTTTAGGCAAATTCGCGTGACTCTCTCTCTCTCTCTCTCTTTCTACGGTAAATGACATCGTGACGAAAAGTGGATTGGCAGGTAAATGGAAGGAAACGTGTCTCCGTCACGCGGATGTCTCTCGAAGAAAAAAGAAAAGAAAAAACAATTGCGTTGGTGCGATTGAATTCCATTGCATGAGGGGGAGGGGGTGAAAACTCGGTTGTACGAACAAAAAGATTCTTGCAGAAGTCTTCTGTTTAGTCGATTACTCACGGTTGTCGTAGGCGAGTCTTAAGGTTAGTTGGTCCGTGACAACGTTGGCAGAAAGGTCGTGATTAATACAACGCGATGAAGCTCGGCAAAAATCCGTGCTAAATTATAAACGTGATTTATGATACACAGCTTTCGGTATTTTTTTTCCTCACGTAAAACGTGAAAGACAGACTTAGCTTGATAATGTGGACGTAGAAATCGATTTCTGCTGTCACTCGTGCCGCCGGTCTCTCATGAGAGACGACACCGCGAGCGTGATAATCAAAAAGCCAAGGTTGGAGGGACTTTTCCCGAGATCTTCTGCCCCGCGCGTCATGTTGTAAACGTCCGAAGAAACGAGAATCTGCGAGAGGATCTGCAGCGTGACCCTGCTCTCGACCAGTCAGGTGATCTCGGCGTTCTCCTTCTCAAGAAAGGGTGTATCAGCCAGCCAGAGCGGCAATTCGCTCGGCAAGAAAAGGGACCGACGAGTTCCACTGCCGATCGTCGAGACAAACGGTACTCGAACGGTTGACATTCTCGAGGCCGGTATCGAGTGGTCTGACCAATCGTGGACGTGACGGGTATGAAATTACGATTGCGCTCTGTTCACCTCTCTCGGCCTCTGCTCGCCGTGCTCCCCTTCTTCGTCTTCTTCTCGCCCGACGGCATCTCGCGATTGAAGGTAAAAAGGTTCATTGACATCAAACGACGATCGAACGCGCGAACCGTCTTCGGGTCGACACGTCGAAATCGATCCGAGATCCTTCTCCCAGGCAATTGCCGTCGAGGAGTAGAAGGAAGCGCCTACGGTGAATCACCTGTCTCGACGCGCGTCATCGGGTCGTCCTTGCGAAACAAAATTAGGTTTCATTTCGAGACCGGCTGAAAACTCATCACATCCCCGCGCTAGTTTTCAGATAGCGATTTCCGAGGTGTCCGAGTGTTTTGGCCCGGAGCTAAAGTTCGTTTTTCAATCAGCTCTTCGCTCGGAAGTCCTGGAATTCCCACGCGGAAAATATTATAAATATATCAATTCAAGATTCATATTTTTATATATATATATAAGCAGGAACATATACTATTATATGAAGATAAAACTTACGAAAAGAAATTCCGTACAGTTTCATTGAAAATGTCAGACGCATATTCTTATCACATAGTTCCATTGAAAATATATTCTTGTCATTCAAGAGTGATTTTCATGAGTTTTGAGAGAAAAAATATTGAACAAAAAGAACGATATCTTCAGGCTAAGAATTGCATCAGTATGGGAGGTCCCATTCTCTCCATCCGATATTTTTCCCTCTCAATTCATAAAATAACAATGATATATTTAAAATAACAGGAATATCACATTTTGGAACTATGATGGGACGATATCGAATTTCCTCGCGTGAATAAATGTTATCTTCATCAAATAAAATTACATATTCTCGTTTATGCATTCGAATGTGACCCTTGAATTAATTTTTCCTTCTGTGCAACGAGACTGTGCAGTTACCGGGGGAAACGGCGCATGCTTGGCCGATCGATTGTATCTTAAGATAAATTAATGCTACGTGTTACAGTTTGATCGAGAAACGGGACGAACCTTCGCATCAACCTGACAGAACGGGAGTGCGCGCGATAAATTGGATCCGGATCATTTGGACGCGATTAAGTCTACTTCATCGCGGGAAACGGTCTCGGAAGTCCGCTATCTATCCGCGTTCTGGGAAAATAATCGATCGGGATACCGTAAACGATTAAAGCTTGTTAATCACCTCGCTCCGACGAGCGAGTAGCAAAATACGCTCACGCGCTCAGACCCGTTTCTCGCCGGAACTCACGGTATTTTCACGAGCCGTCGCTGCGCCTGACGACTGACGAAAGTTAACTATGCGATTAAAGGGTCAAGTAAATAAACAACGTTCGCACAGAGGTAAGTAAGAGAGTTATTACGCGAAGGGATGGCGTACATTGTACCCGCTGCCCGTGAGATTCTTCCCATACGGATCGGCGATAAGGCGCTTTAACATCATCCTAACGCAATTATCTGCCATCTCACTGATTGCTCTGTTGCGGATAAAGTGTTGCTCTGCGATTTCCCGCCTCTCGCGCTTTTCTCGGCTTCGCTCCCTTAACGCCACAAATTAAGAACGGAGACCGAAGAGGGTGAAAATGAATAGGACGTAAACAGCTATCTCTTAAAGGAAAATTGTAGATTTCCGCGTAACGCGGAGAGCTCGCCTACACCGGCCGTAGGATGAAACACGCGGCGGGACGATATCGCGAAAGTCGCGTTTGACTCCGTTTCTCGAAGGGATCTCGCAGTCGATCGATCCCCTCGAATCACCGTCCGTTACACGTTACACGTGTGTCGTGCGAAGGAAGGGACAACGGGCTATTTTCATGCGGCCGTGCAGCGACGCGCGAAGCAATTTCAGTGAAACTAAGACAACGGCGTAGAGATCACGCCGGCTCGATAATAAGACGGCCGACCTAAATATCGCCCGTAAATACCGAATATCGGGCCGAGAGGGACAATTGTAGCCACCTTCAACTATCTACGCATCTACGTGTCCGGGGCGTCGTTACGCACCCGCCGGAGATGTTCACCGGGATCGTAGAGACGCGTCCGGCCTTATCTCGTAGAAAGTGTGCATATTAGAGAGGCGTTTTTCTCTTTTTTTCTTTTCTTTCACGAGCCGTTCCCGCGGCTTTCACCGTCGACAATAGCATGACGAACATCGACAGAGGCAAATTAAGATTGACTATGCACTTCTCTGTGCAACGCATACCTCCCCCACCGGTTTGGTTATTCGTGGAGGAAGAAACGATCTCGCGAGAGGCGGTCGAGAGACCGGAATAAGTGCGGTTAGAGGACGGTGATTTTTGCCGGACGCTATTATCGCCGGTGTTACAACCGTTACCGCGTTACGACGAAAGCAAGAGTCCGCGAGGCTGCGAAGTGATTAATAGACGTTCGGCTTGCCGGCGACACCGGGGAATTCGACGACACCAGGTGATTTTCTGAACCGCTGCGTCCCATTAAGTCGTTACACCGATGGGACCGAGCTACTGTTGCAAATTGATCGAGTCGAGTCGCGTCTTCTGTCATCGATACGCGCTCGTATTATGAGCTCGCTCGAAGCTGCCGAGGGAAAAATTCCTGTAATAAGGGGAAGTCAATCAGCGATGTATCATTATACCTGGGCGACGTTGCGAAGTAATAAGAAACAAGGAGACCGTCTTTCATCTACCAAGAGAGAGAGAGAGAGAGAGAGAAAGACTCTGAAATGCAAGAAGAACTTCTCTGTTCTTGCGGGCATGCGATCCACATTACTGGTCTAAGCGGATCGTTTCGCACCGCTGACTGCCGGCGTGTTAACTATTAATTATTCATTAGCGGAGAAGCCGATCGTTCAGGTAAAAAGCACATTTGTGCCTCCGCGTTTCGGTGCCTCCGCGGCTACCATTCATGAGTTCTTTCCCTCGCTTCCGCCCGGACATCCATCTATCCTTAATTGGCCGTTAGGCGACGTACGACGCGATTTTCAACGCAACCTCCGTCGAGTGCCGTCGGGGCAACTTCTCGCCCTCCTCGACTCGCTGTTCCGACGCGCACAATGCTCGGCTGTCATGATTAAATCGCGGCGCAACGCGGCGCTGATACGCGAGAGAAAGAGAGAGAAAAAGAACGACGGAACCGACCGGCAATGTGCCGGATTATCATCAATCGTATTCGAGCGGGGACGTTCAATTTTCCCGATCTTCTGATCCTCACTTTGCAATTAACGCGCCGTTGTTTTAGCTTTACATGGGCGAGAGCGATCGCTCACTGCGGAGAAAAAAGGGAGGAAAATGATTTCGAAGAAATAGCAAATTCGTTGTGCTATAAATTCGTGAAGCAATAAATCAATGCACTGTTTCTTAAATAGGTGAGAATAGGAAGACCAGGGCGCTTCAGCGATCATAATGGCTTCCATGTCCTCCCCCTCTCGCTCGTTAGTCGAGCACGTCGATCGGAACGGCCGAAAAATCGCCGACGAAGTTTGCAAAATGCTCCTCCGTGAACGGTGATAAGAGCTGCGCGCTCTTTTTGCGGGGAACGTGCACCTGACAGCTACACGATTCACCCAGATTCTCACGGTAACCCTCTCGATGGCATTCAGCGCCGTAATATATACGAACTACACAGATTCGCCCCGCCAACTCTAGATCCAGCTAAAACCGCAAAGCTAATGCTCACAATAGTAGGACATTCCGCGTAACAGGATAATACACCGTAATTGCGAGCGAACTGTGTTGCTGCTGGAGCTGACAATTGGTGTACATACGTGAGACACACGAGCTTGAGAGAGAGAGAGAGAGAGAGAGAGAGTATGTGTATATGTGTGTTGAGTGTGCGCGCGCGGAAGAGCGTAATGTTAATTCTAATTAAAATACAATGCCCCACGCGCGCGCGCGTGCGTTTGCATACAAAAATTCGAGACCGGCGCGCGCGCAGTTATTCCGCTCGTAGGATGTGTGTTAAAGCCGTAAAGCTGTCGGGAACAAACGATCCACCGATCCGAAGTGGCGACCGTTCAAGCCAATGTGACAAAGTGCGATAAAGCTACGTCCTCATTTGCACACTCGCGATAGTACGGAGGAACCGTTGCCCTTATTTCGTTTCGAGGAACACGCGCGGGACGGTCTCTGCGTGAGGATCCTTGACTCATTAACTGCCGAATTTCTTTTTCGAAATTTTCGGCCGGATAAGTGATATATATGCACAAAAAGTTGTGTAACAGTATCATTATATTCTAATTATGTTTTATTTTGCGCCCCAAATGGGGATCGTGGCAGCTAATGGGTTAAGGACGGAGGAAGAGTGAAGTTTAATCCGACTCGTGTAAAACGAAGATCGCAACTTCGTGCAAGATGTAATCAGTGTCTTCGATCATAAGTGTTAATACATTCGTGCAGGACGTAATGAAAATGATTTAATCGACTCTTCCCCTCCTCCCCCTCCCCGTGTCGATACCGCGATGACGGCCAGTTCGCGTCAATGGAGCCTAAAATTGCGACCGGTCGTTCCACTCGGCCGGCGGTCGCCAAACGCGTATCGTCGGCGCGCATTAATTGCGGGATATTTTTACGCGCGCGGTAAACAAGTAACGGAGTTCACGGGCATTAGAATCTCTCCCGATGCAAGCGGCTAGGAGAGCCGTGAGAATGTAGGTGAATCGCATAGCAGGCGTCGTAACGAAGCGGAATGCAGTCTCGCCGGGCTCTCTCGCCAGGTCGTGAAGATCGGAGGGATATTCCGCGTCTTCGATGGAACCGCGGCTCACCCGCGGCCTGAACGTCGGCGTCGTCGTCCGGGCACGCGATCGTACTCGAAATAATTAGCGGGGGCCAGGTGCAGCGGGAGAGTAGCGACCGGCGGCAGCGCACCGAGACGGTAGAGCGCCGGTACTTTTACCGGCGGTAATTAGCTCTCCCTCCAGAGAGCGAATCGCTCCTTTCGAAATCGGTGCTCCGATAGCAGAAGAATATTTCTTCGGATTTCGTCGAATCTCTCGCGTCGAAATTCGAATTTGTCCACGTGGAAAGGGCCAGCGAACGAACGTTTGATTCATCCAAGGGACGTCCTCGGGACGTACATCCGGTAAAGCGTGCCGTATGAGTTACAATGATTGTCACAAGTAGCCAAGAAGTACCACTTGAAAGAAGTAGCGCTATGTCGGACAAATATTCAAGGATTTCATTGTTTCAGGGGGAAAATTATCTGATATGCAGTGGAAATTTTGTCCTTCTACCGAAAACCAAATATGATTTCCTCTAAATAATCCTGCCTTTTCTATCCAGTAATATAGTTTGCTCTAGTGAAACAAGTTGGTTGTTTCGGATGCCGAATTTTCAATGCGGTCGAATGTTCACACGAATGTTCCCAGCCGCGGCGAGATATCGTTTCTTGTCAGCGACTTTTCATCTGGCCTCTCACTCGCTCCCAGCAACTGAGACTTTTTTCCGTGTAATAATATATTTTACTTCTACTTTGACTACATGATAATGTCTTAACACTAGCATTAAAATGAAATCTGTAGGATTAAGCTTGAAGAGAGAGAGAGAAGTTAATAAATGTAGTACGTGTCACAAAGTAGGTTTCTACCAGTCTAAAGTCGTCAAAAGCGTCCAAGTGTCATCAAAATTTCAACTAGAGTCTATCGAGTCAGTCGTGAGCGAGCCGGTGTTCTTAATAACGTAGAGGCGGAAAACCGTGAAGATAACGTTCCGTCGTCGCTCGTGGTAACCGCAGGGGTTACGTGCGCGCGCGGGGGGGTGAACGGTAGCCGTTCGCGAGGCATTGGAAAACGAGACGGTGGTTTGCAGCGCGTCACACATTTCCCGGAGACCCGGCGCGAAGTTCACGGCACAGGTAAGACGCGAGCCGGCGAGACCGCTGTGTCATACCCCGTTGCGCGGCAGGCGGGCAGGTAAAAATATTACCGGTCTCGCGGCTGCCATTACCGTGCCGTCGGTTGACACTGGTAATGATAATATTGGTCCGAGAGAAGCCGGGCGTTACGGGGCGATTACGCGGCCGACGGCACGTGAGAGAAGCGCGGAGGACCGGAGATTGAAGCTTGAGAGTCGCCGGCTCGTCCTGGCCGATTCAAATGATCGATCCGATTCGCACGGCCCCGGCGAATTTCCCATGAAGAGCGAGGCGGCGCAAGCCTCGAGCCTTAATTCGCGGACGATCATCTTATTGTTTCCGTCGTAGCGCAGCTGATGGATTCGAGTCGCCGACTCGGGCCCTCCGTTTCTCAGGTGACGCACAAAGAAAAAAGCGCCGGGATCGGGTAAACGTAATTACCCGTTCTTCAGCCTCTTAAATCAAGTGGTATTTTTACCGATTCAAATATGCCTCGATAATTTGTAGTTGATATTTACTTGAACGCAGCGACGCCTTAGTTTGTAAATTAATCACCGAATGTAGGTGTAAAATGGTTTCGAATTCGGGAGAATATTAATCAGAATTATGCAATAACTTTTTGTGAAGAAACCTAGTGGTTTGAAAAATGAGGGAAAATGATTGTTTTCCGAAACTTTAAAAGTCGCAAAACACAAACAATTATTTACATGTCAATGTCAGGTGTGCGGAGGCTCCCGTGGGCCGCTTTTCTCTAAACTTTGATTGGATATCGAGGCGGCCATCTTAGACTGTATTTTCGTCCGTACAAAGTTGACACGGTAAATAGGCGATGCCACTTCGCACAGCCTTCGCTCGTCGATAAGCTCCCTTCAACACTACATCTCTCTCTCTTTCTCTCCTTACAGCGAGAGAACGCGTAAGAACTCGAAAGAAACCCGATAAGGATTATCCCTGGACGTGTAGACCGAGCTATGTTCCGTCTCTCGAGGAGGTAACGGCAGACTTAACGGTACCCCTTTCGAGCCCAATATTTATTCTTTTCGCTGGCAAAAACGCAATTCCTCGCGTCCCCGCAATTTGACTATGTGGTCTTTGCGGTCAAACGGGAAACGTTGCACGGACGGAGATGCGCGCAGCGTGAAAGTGACAGTAGAGAGTCGGACGAGAGCATAAATTGTTCGGTAACGACTAGTGGATCGTGACGCGACGCGAGGGAGCGCACGCGACCCCCGCAATTTTGGTCACGTGCGCGACATGCATCGGCTCTTCCCGAAGATGCAAATTCGATGTTCGCTTTCGAAAATTCGCAGCTGGCAGCACTCCGCGAAATAGGGCTGTCCTCTGTCCCCGGTCGGAAGTGGAACTAGTCTCGCAGCTTTTTTATCTTACTATATATATATATATAAACAGCAATTTGGTGACACTTTCACGGTTAGTGCGGTTAGGCGAAAGTCAGGGAGTGATGAAACTCTACACCGGATACGCTCGGCGATGTCGTTGCTCCTGGCCGCGCGCCTCAACGATGACGTTATAGTGGCTTCATGCAAATATCTTTTCTTGCGTAAACGGGAGAAGCCCGAGCGAGCCGGCAGAAACGGTAAAACTTGCGAAAGCTGCGCGACTGACGCCAATCGATGTCTCTTCCGCTGAAAAGAAATCACTTATGGCTGCGTCGAGCGCGACGAGTAATGACACTTTCTCAGCCGTACGCTTCATACTCGAGTACAAAAAGGTACAAGATGTTTACCTCGTTAGCTTCTATTCGCTGTTTTGACGATATTGTTGCGTGGTGGACGTTGGTAAGAATAGAAAGCCGTAGAACGTAATAACGATCGTATAATTTCGAGCGCTTCGCGGCCACAGGCGGATTCGGAACGTGGGGAATTAAACGCGTGAAATTTGCATGGACCTTCAACGGGGTCGGTGACTGAGGATTTTTGGAAGACGAAGTGTTTGCTTCACTTGGCAGATTAAATAAACTTGCGGCCAACAGAGGGAAATTCAATATAGCGCGCGTAGATCGATCGGAACGCGAAAATCGCCGCTCCAACGAAGGAAAACGTAATATTAATAATTAATAACTAACGTGGAACGACAGTTGTCTCTTTTGCAAAATGTCGTTGCGAAGTACTTGAGACAACTGAATCTAAATATGCTATATAAGTACTTGAGACAACTGAATCTAAATATGCTATATGTTTGTGTACCATATTGTCTATGCAGCATTATATTGTGCCATCGTTATATACGATGTTACGTGAGCCTGCATTGTTCGTTCGGCAAGCGGGTGTCGGCAGGAGTCGAAAATAGGCCGCGATTAGTGTGCGAGCTACTCGTTCGATCCTTACAGTTTGAGAAGATGCGGGCTTTAAAAGCTGTATTGACAATAATCGCGTTTCGTAAACGTCGCCCCGACTTTTTAGGCTGACGGAAATCTCCGGGTGACGTGCTCGGACGTAAGCGCGCGTCATGCCGGCAGCTTTCTCCGGCGCGACGTTAGCCGGATACGCTTTTGTAACTTAGTACACACCGTATCTCTCCTTAACGATACTTTTATCCTCCCGGCGTGAATTTCACTTAACCAGATGCGTTTAATCGATTTATTTTAAATTCTCAGGCGGGAAAAATTAACCCTAGCCTAAACCTTTAAGTATTTTTGCATTTTCACTAGTTTTTCCTCCAGGATTCTTCTTACGAGCCTGTATTTTCGCAAATCTTGACTTCAACGCTTCCACTAACTCTCGTTCTAAAGCGTTTTATTTTCAAGTTTCGCCATCTTCATTTTGACACCATTATTTACGCGTAGCATAGCAAGCCAACGCGTTTCGTTACATCTGATTATTCGAGATACTTCGGCGCGGATCACCACTTTGCAATTATCGTTGACCGTATTATTAGAGTGTATCTCGCAAACTGCACGTTTATCCCCTGAACCATATTTGCGAGCCGGATTTTACGATTCGCATTAAAATTAAAGCCATGCGCCACGACTGCAAACGGCATGCATACTAAAGCGCTTATCTTTTCAGGTAGCACTCTAACGCACACATACACACACACACACACTCCCCGCGGAGCCGGATGTGCCTCTACTCATACATCGCGTCGCGCTCACGTGAATTTTTCACTTCTCCTCAAAATAATGGGCATTAGCGTGCCAACGGGCACGGTACATTTATTGTATAATTACTGTAACGCAATCTGTTCGCGTGTAGACTTTCGGCGCGCTTGCAGTGTTATTTAACAACGAATTCGTGATAAATGAATCGAGTGGTAAGCAGCGGAGAGAATAACATTCGGATTTTCCGTTGAAACGCGCTACCGTGTCAGTGACCTTTGGAAGCGCGGGAGAGAATGACGTAAGAATTCCTTCGGACGATATGAAGAAGTGGAAGTGATTAAACAACACGAGAAACTGACAATTTACAGTCCCCCCGAGTAGAAAGGAAAAATTATGGAGTTATGGAAAAATTAGTCACTAGACAGAAAGTAAACAGTTTTCACCGGCTTGAATCAATTAGACAGTAAATGTTCAGAAACTGTAAAAAAAATGCTGACTATTATTTCTTGGCCAGTTACTTGTCATAAATTATTCCAAAAAAAAAAAATAGTAAGTTAATACCGGGCAGTTTCTATCCAGCAAAAACTCATAAAATTCTGGCTGATGTTTCTTGGTTATTTCCTTTCGCCAGAAACTAGGCGAAATAATAAACAAGTGAAATGGCAAACAAATGAAATGCTCAACATCTTATTAGAAGGAACTAATTAGAATCTGGCTAGTTTCACTATCCAGTTATTGCCGAAGCAAAAGTCTCGCAAATTTGTCAGTTTTTGGCCAATAAGACCGACCAGAAGCTGAAGTTAATTAGAGAATTACTGGCCAGTTACTGGCTGGAAACTGGTTTAATTTCTCCTTGAGTTAGTTTCCTGCAGAAACGCTCTCGTAAGGATCTTCGGGCGCTGCCGAATTGCTCAACAAGCGCGCGTCAATTTGACGAGGCGTTGGCGCGGAATTCTTGTATCTCCGAAGAATTTTCGGTGGAGGTCAAAATACCGGTTCCGCGCTCGCCGACACGTGGCTGCTTCGGGAACAGCTATCGAACAGGTTCAACGTGCTCGAGTTTTTTTTTCTGTAAGTTACAACGATCGGTAGCGCGCGAACGTAACACAGCGACGCCAGCGCATCACGGGGCGGTATCCCGCGCTTGGTGTTAATGTCACCGTCGAGATGTCATGCTGCGCGATCATTGATGTCTCCGAGTACGTCGCATCCATTGACTTTTTAACAATTGGAAACATGAAAACGGGCCGATTTGATATATTT